ATAGGAGGGTTCAACTCTGGGATCGTGGAACTTATCTCGGTTTCTCAGTGGTGTTTACACTCCGTAGGTCTGCTGAGGCTGGTGTCCCGGTCGCAAACTTTGACCGATATATTCTAGTTTACGACTAGACGAGGTCATTAGCTCGAGACTCGGTGACACCAGAGAGGTCAGGAGGACCAGGTTCATCCTAAAGTTCATCTAAAGACGTCAGCTGTGACAGGTTTCATCAACCTCTAGTGTCCTTGTCATGTTCAGTTTGCTGATAATCAGGTGATCAGCTGCCACAAGCTCCAAAGTCGAAAAGCAGGAAAAACAATAATCACCATGTGTGTAGTGATGATCAAACATTTTGTTCCAATCGGTAATGCTTGACTTCAGTTAACTAGTGATGTCTGATTGAACTGTTTTCAGGTCATGAGGGGAGAATTGGGATGGCTGCTGTTACTTTAAGGGAAGGACAGAAGTTTGACTCCGCAGCTGTTTTTAACCAAGTTAGAAGCTTTCTGCCAACATACGCAAGGCCCTGTTTTATCAGGATTCAGGTACTCCAGCTTTTGTTTTGTACAAATAAAGCCTTCATTTAATCCTTTTTGTTGCAAACATGATGACATGTTTTTGTCCTCTGACAGGACTCCATGGATGTGACGGGAACGTTCAAGCAGCTGAAGGTGAGGCTGGTGAAGGAGGGCTTCAACCCAAATGAAATAAAGGACCCCCTCTATTTTCTGGATGAAAAGGAAAAGAATTACGTCCCACTGACGCCGGACACATTTGATTTAGTCATAACAGGAAAGCTCAAAATTTAAAGGTACTTTAAATTTACAGTAGAAATTCACCTGATCACACTATGATGCATCACCTGCTCTCAGTACTTAAAATAAAGGTTTTTCATGCCTAGATCATGTCTGAGCTTGTCGCACTGAGCTGGGAGAGCAGGTACGGTCTCAATGATAGCAAGTTTTTCCGGTTGAGAGAGCCGACCGCAGGGCTTCTTTTTTAAACAGTGACTTGTTGCTGTACTGCATTTAGGTTTGTGCCCTTTTAAGGACTGTCACCTTCGCTTTCTACGGTCCAGTGATTTGTAGAAAATACAATTACTATTTTTGTGATCATTATAACAATCTAAGCTGCTTTTTAACTATAAACAGAACTCAATACTTGTTCGTAGTTGTCAGTTTTACAGGGGATACAATTGCAGAAAATACTATAATAAATTTATCTTTTGTTCTACTTAAGGTTAGACTCTACAGGCAAAGTCAACTGTCAACTGTGAGATGTTGGGCTGTTTTGCTTCCATAAAATGTTTTCTTTTAGACAAATAATAAAAAATAATTCTTCGATGCACATTTAGGTGTTTAATTTGCTCCGTTTTGTCTGATGCAAATTAGCACATATTAAATGAAATCATACATCATTCGTTTATATTCAAACGTACAATTTAAAAAAATTCCCAAAAAAAGTAATACAAAAAAATGCCTGCAAACAGTGGTTTCTAGTTTGTTTGTTTGTTTGTACAAAAGTATACTCTGAGCCATAAATCTCTACATAAGTTGCACTTTTTGTACAGATTTTCCATTTTCATTCCTTTCTACACTTTGGTGGTTTCTACAGCTGGATGTGTTCATATATCAGTCAAAGGTTGATTTATAGAACATTTTATTTCTAAAAACCGTGGTGAAAATAGATTTTTCTAACTGTTGACGATCCTTCTGAGGAATACCGGCGATATCCAAAATCCGTCCTGTAAGTTTCATGTTGATACCAGTTAGCTTAGTTTAGTTTTTTTTTTTTTTTTTTTTAAACTGATTAGTTTTCAGAAGATTAACTTCAAAAGGTGCTTTCTATTCCAATGTCAAATAACTGTGGCTCAGGTGGTAGAGCGGGTTGTCCTCCAATCACAAGGTTGGCGGTTTGATCCCCCGTCCCTCCACAGTCGAACGGTCCTCGGGCAAGACACTGAACCCGAAGGTGCTCCCAATGGAAGGCTAGCGTCTGTCACCATTGGTGTATGAATGTGTGAGTGGGTGAATGAGAAACACATTGTAAAGCGCTTTGGATTAAAGCGCTGTATAAGTGACCATTTACTATATAAGTGACCATTTAACTACAGCTAAGGGAATGTGTTCGAGCCAGTAATCAGTGATTTCCTTTAAAATCTAAGCTTGTTGTAATGTGAACCATTTCAACATTAAAATGTGTAAAAATGACTGAGCCAGCGTATATTTTTTGACTTGTTCACTGAGATTAACCCAAATGTTTCCAACAATATTTAAACCCAAGAAAATCCATGATTTCCTTCAGTTCACTTCATGTTGGTCACCTTCCGGTAGCGTCCTGTCCCCTCAGGGAAAGGTGCATGTTAGAGGAAGAGGAAGTTGGCAGCTCAGCCAGCTGTTTTTTTAAATTCTATTTTTTGTGTTGCTCACTTGTGATGGATTCAGGTTGTTTTAAAATGACTTTTGTTCACAGTTCTGGGCTAAATGAGCCAAGTTTACTTTGAATATTCTTTATGGGGTCATTCTCTTACATTACAACTGACTAAATATAAATGACAGTTGTCCTCATAGCCGCTGGTTTTATGTGTTGCTGCATCTAAACCCGTCACCTCAGTGCTAGAGCATTAGATAGGCAGTGTATGTTTTGATGACTGAAGATGTGAGCAAACAGAGCACAGGAAGGACATTCAGCAAAGGTCTGTCTGGCAGAGAGTTGAACCGGTAACCTCGGCTGCCTTTTTTTCTATGTGATATGTGTCCTAACCGCTCATCCGGTGGATTGCACTCTGCTGAGCTGTAATATTTTCAGGGCCCTATACTGTACATGCTGGCTCACCAACATGGCTGGTCACATGCTCGACCGGCTGACTCACAGAATGAAGTACTCAGATGTAAAGAGGATTTTCTGTTATTGCCTCCCTCTGGAGGCTGCAGTGGCCTTTCATTAGTCTAAAGTGATGGCACCTAATAAGCCTCCATCAGGCCTGTAGTCAGCTTAGCATCTCCACCGTCTCTCCTGGGATCCACATCTTGAAGCTTAAACACTCACGTCTCTGTCATCCAGCCTGCTGATGTAACGAACCTCCACACCTCACGCTTATCCGTTTGTAAATTAGAGTAATTCATTGGCACATTCAGTAACTCTGATTTGTGTCAAACCATATTCCAGAAGAACGGATCAGCTTTATCACTCTGGCTTTGTAATAATTGTATTTAGCTGGTCGGGTATTTTTTTTTCCACAAAAGACTGGAGTTTTTCATCATGACTCAGCACCTCTCAGTGTAAGCGCCGTCCTTCCACCCTCTGGTTGGGCACCGGGTGACGCAGGATTCGGTGCCCCAGAGCCGACGGGGGACCATGCAGCAGCATCGAGGAGACCTTGACGCGTAAAGACAGACACAGCCGGACTGAGGCCTGGCAGCTCAGCCAGAGGAGCACCTCATTAACCGCAGGGTCACCGATGTTAACAAGGGGACCAGGAATAGTGTAATTTTATTAAAGACCCCCTCCGGTGAAAATCAAGTTTGTTTGTTTTTAGCTTATTAACATGTTCATATGGGGTTTTTGTTTGTTTGTTTGTTTGTTTTTGTATATGCTAGAAGACTAAATAGGCAGTCAACACTATAGCAGAGCATCTTTCACCTTCAAAAACACAGATTCACACTTGATATGTGACAAACCTTCAGAAACAATCCTGTCAGCTTGCAGGGAGGAGCTTTCTCTTTCATTTTTAGTCAGACTTGGTTTCTGGTTTGAACATGTTTGGCTGAATTAATGCAGTAACACAACTTGCCACTGTGTAGCATAGAGTAGTTTTACAGTGTTTGAGCAGAGCTGTAGGTGAGCTGGCGTGCTCGAGCTGCAGCGAGTGGAGGAACAGGCGGAGACTTAATAGATTTCTAGAAGAAGCAACGGTGGAGAGTTACATCTCAGCCAATTTAAGGGAGGAAGGGGTTCTTATCATGGAAATAAAGCTTTAAATATGTGGCTTTGATACACAGAGTTGAGTATTTGGGGTTTAATCAACGACCAGAGAGAGACTTTAAAAGATATTTTTCTTGAGAGAGTCTCAAGTCTCCCCAGAATGTGTCATTCAGTTTTCCAGCTAAAAACAAAATAAAACTGCAAAGACAGTTAAATTTAACCACGACTCAGTTCAGAGTCATTTCATTGGAAATCACTAATGTTTTTCAGATTTCCTTCTTGACTATGTCTGATTTGGCTGAACGTTTTTATACCATAAAATATGGATACTTATAAGGACACTTATACAATTGTTGCATGACATATCAAATAATATTAAGATTTAAAAACAAAAAAAAAAAAGTTGAAAAACTACCTGTCACCTCACTTTCAGCATGTTTTTTTTATTTTTTGGGGGGGGAAATTCAAATTTGAGGCCATGTTTGGATGATAATATCTCAGGAAGTGTTAGAGGCCTAAAATCTTCACTGTTTTTTTCATCATGTCATTGATTCAGTGATGCTGGACAAGTAGATCAAATGGTGAACTTATTCATATTGAAACAGCTTTGACTTTACAATGACCACAAAACACAATAAAAAATGTTGTTTTCTTTTTTACGATAAAAAAGGACCTTTAAGTCAAACCGGAGTCCATCAACCAACACTTTTGCTGCTTTTCTCACTTTTTATATATATTTTGGGATTTAATATTTAGGGATTTTTTGGTTGGAGAAAAGTATTTAACCTCTTAAGACTCTCTTTACAAATAGCAAATAGGAATAAAAAAAGAAGAAGAAAGAAAATAGAAATATACTCAAATATATAGATATAAAAATACAAAAAAATAACAATTACTAGATAATATAATAAAATAATTTTTTTTAAAAAGAATAACTACTGTGGTAATATAACCCAAAATGTGATGTCCACATCCACACGCCAGGTCTTAAGAGGTTAAAGATATCGACCTGAATTTGAACTTTGCACAATAAGAATCAGAACTACTTCATCGATCCTCTAGGGGAAATTACTTTCTGTTACAGATGCTCCCAATCAAAAGCCTTGAAAAAAGTAGGAAAGTAAAAAAAAAAAACATAGAATAAAAATATAAACACAAGTATTAATATAAATAAAATACATCTAAACACAAAAAATACATATACATTCTGCTCTAGCATATGTACAGTCGTCCTCAAATTTAGTCATATCCTTCCATTAAAGAAGGAAAGAACAGCTTCACTGAAATAAGCTGAAATTGACAAAAGTAATAATAAATGAAATGTAATGAAAATCATGACATTGCTTTTGAAATGTGGTTCAACAGAAATATATACATAAAAAAACAAACAAACAAAAAGCAAGCAAACAAACATGATGGGACTCATAAACTAATATTTTGTTGAACAACCCTTTTAGCCAATCACTGCAATCAAGTGTTTTCTGTAACTCTCAGTCAGACTTCTGCAACCTGTTGACAGGTGTTTGATTTTGGTCACTGCTCATCAGCAAAGTGTCTAATTTGTCTGGGACAGATTTTTTTTTTGTTTGTTTGTTTTTTTTAGTTTTTTTTCCACTCACAATTCAAAAGCAATGTATTATTCCACTAAATTAGAATTTAGCAAATTTTTATTAATGATTACTTTTTTCAGTTTCTAGTTAATTGAGTGACTATTGTGAATTTTTATTTTTCTTTATTGGAAGAGTATGAATACATTTGAGGACGACTGGATATACAGTGTAATAATAATACCACCAATGTTGCAGCTTAAAAAAAAGTGCACTGGTAAAGACAACCACCATTATTTCCCATCGTGCTGCTCCAGTTAGCAGGAGGCTGACATCAGGGCTGTTTGTTTGTGAGCAGCGTCTCTCCTCCCATCAGTCAGAGGGAGCGGACAGCCTCCTCCTCCGCTCAGATTGTAGATTTATGAGGAGGATTGCCATTTGCAGAATTCCTTGTAACGCTTTATGACTGTGGCTATTAATGTGCACGAGTGGATCTCGGTCTTCGGGAACTCCGGGGAGATGGAACCGCAGTGAAGCGTCGGAGCCTGGAGGTGTCGCAGCAGCTGCAGCTCACACTTGATCACTTTGTTTCTTTACTGTCTCAGACGTTGCACAACAGAAGTATTAGTTTTTGTAGATGACACATGTAATCTGAGGACACATATGAGTAGAAATCAGAGCTGGATGAGCAGAGTGGATGTGTAAACAACCGATCTGGGGAAACCGTGAAACATTCCCCCCAGAATGAAGGAGGGGTCAGCGGGCCAGAGCCGAGCACCGCCCCGGGCTGGAAGGCTGAACTTTGCCACAAATATTCCTCAGCTGCCACCACTTACACTTCCTCACACTCTCTCCGACTGATTGTTTGCAACATGTATTTGTGGCTCACGCCGGTGGCCGGACTGGCGATCCTGTGGTTCTTCTACATCAGGACGCATTTGCCGCACTTTGGCGCAGACTTCTGGTACATTCTGCGGAGCATCAAACTCGGCCTGAGGCTTTTCAAGTACAAATACATCAAACCCTTCTACAGCATCTTGGACTGCTTCTTGGATGCGGCGAGGAGTCACCCCGACAAGATCTTCCTGCACTTCGAGGGTGGCACCTACACCTATGGGGAGGTGGACAAACGGAGCAACAAGGTGGCCAGAGCCCTGCAGGCTGAGGCGCAGCTCCAGGAGGGGGACGTGGTGGCTCTGTTCATGGCCAACGAGCCCAGTTTGGTGTGGACTTGGCTCGGTTTGGCCAAGCTGGGCTGCCCGGCTGCTTTGCTCAACTTTAACATCAGATCCAAGTCTCTGCTGCACTGCTTCTCCTGCTGCGGGGCCAAAAGGATCATCGCCTCTCCGGGTAGGACTGATCGTTCAAGAGCAGCTCTGTTTCGTTAACCTGCTGCTTGCTCAGTCAAGTTCAAAGTTCACTGATGGTATAAGATATTTACATTATGTGCCACAGGTGGTGGTAAAGTGCATGCACTTAAATGCAGCAGCTTTGTCTGTTTCACTGCATTTATTTCTTTCCTTCATGGAAAACTTCTAAAACCCTGCATGCAGCCTTTCACCATGTGGCCCCTTCCAAAAAGAGGAGTGTCTAGATGAGGTCCCCCTGTCACAAGAAACTCCCTCTAAGCATATCAGTTTGTTTAAAAGAGGTAAAAATCGAGTATATTCTCAAAATTAGTTAATATTTGCAAATGTGCTGCTTTGATGATCAGAAAACCTTCCAGGTGACCCTTTAAC